TCATTATGAAGTATACTGTGTATTACTGTGCTCTCCTGCAACTGACACGTTGCTGTTCCAGTTTGCATCTAGGTATTGATGCTAGTGGGCTAGGGGCACAGGCTTATTGGCATCTCTGTGATACAATAACAGGGTAGAGAAGGCTGCCATGGAGACAAGGTAATTCCAGCTCTTGGGACAGCTTTTGGCAACAGTGTCTGCCTGTGTAGGATGTAATGCGAAGCAAGACAGAGTGAAATGGCAGACTGCATGAGGCTGCAATGAGTCAGCCACTCCAAGGGGACTGAAAGAAATGTATAGCGTGTATAGAGGAGCACTGGGCTGCCCTGAGCTGGAGGCAATGAGTTTGGATTTTTGCAAATCCAATTCATCTGATGTTCTTGGCAGTCAGGGGAGGAAACTCGCAGCAGAGAGCTCTGGTGTGTGAGGAGTGATGATTCTCAGGCTGCCTTCTGTGAAGGCAGGCCAATAAACGTAGTTACCATGTACTGCAAGAACAGTCCTGAAGAGGGAGTGTAAACTAAAAGTAGTATCCAGGGCAATATAAATTGCCTCCTTTGTGACTGAGTGAGCAGGGTATGGCTAAAAGCTAAAGCACTGCACAACCATTCACAGGAAAAAAATATGTATAGATGTCTCTCATAACTAACAGTGTTACCCCTCTTTCCAAGAGAGAGAAATCCAATGCATTAATTAAAGTACTTTTTAATGGAGATTTTTTTCCAGGAAGTTAATAATTTCACAATCTTCATGCTGCAATTTATTCTTTTGTTGCTTCCTCTAAATACTGGGTTTTTCTTTCTTTCCAAACATGAGGATGCGTCCCAGCCTTATTGTATTTTAGAGTTTCAAAATTCAGTCTCGGAATTCCTTTCTTATCTTAATTGTACTAATTTAGAGGATATGACATTTCCCTTAACAATCTCTGGTACTGAGAAGTAGTATCAGAGGTATTGTAAGACCATAATTATGAGGTAATAGAGTTGTGGGGTTAAAAAAGTGCTAGGTATTTTCAGGTGGCCACACAGCGAAATGTCATTAATGCTGTGTAATTTGCTTGGAGTAGTCCAGCCTTGGAATGTGTGGTAGTATTTCACTGCGTGAAAAATTACTGTTGCTTCAGCTGCAGTCATATCCATCTCCCTGGGAAGACTTCCAGCTTCAAAGGGGAATCTGGTTGTACATGTTTGAGTTGTGTTTTTAGCTGCAACATAATCTTTTCTGTCTTCTGGCTGTCCATTAGAAATGGTAACGAAAACATGGCACATGGTCCTTTCAGCCTTAGTGTAATCTTTCTCTTTTCTCTGGAAAGAAAAGTTCCTCAGCCAAGAAGGTAATTCAGTTACTGACATTCTTTCAGATGTTTTAAAGGTATGCTTTGTTGGAGCATCTGCATGTTAATCTGTAATGTAAAGCAAAAGGGTGGCAGCTACCAAGGCAGGGTCAAAAAATAAATACACTGTCCTCCTAACTAATGCCTTCAAAGCAACTGAATTCGTGGTCTGAATAGTCAATTTCTTAAATATTCAGGTACCAAAACATAAGAAAAGTGAACCTAATATTACTGCTTAACACACAGGAGAAAATAAACACTGGTAATGGTAAAGCCATATAAAAAACATTTCAGAACTTTCAGAAAAGCAAGCTAGAAAGTAAAAATAATGTGTAATGAAATGGATTTACCTCATTTATTTATTCTCTGTGAGCCAATGAGCTATGTTAAAGAATAAAAATAAAGAAGTCCTAGTAATTGATGACCTCTCACCTTCACCCTGTATAAGATGCTTTTTAAGGCATTTTTCATGCTGTTGGTCTGTTTATTATTTCTCTGCTGCTTCTAAGTTGACCTTAAGATATGATCCCACCCCAAGTTTTGCAGGAAGCAAAATAGGGCAACAAAGGGGTATTAGTTGGGATTATGGTTACAAAAATATCTGCAGAGTAATTCTATCATGGCTGTTTCTGTCTTGCTCAGATACAAATATATTTACTGATGTTTGCTTCAGACGCTTTGGAAAATATTCAGACACGTTGATATCCTATGAATTTTATTTTTTTTTATTATTTCTTATTTTTTTCTCATGGCTTCTCTATGACTTTTCCTGCTGTTTGAGAATCACCTGTTTGGAAAATATTCAGGCCATCATCATTGTTATTGATTAAGTAATAAGAAAAAAAATAAAAAAGGAAAAGACTATATTATTCTCCATATAAATTCTTTCTAAATGCATATATACATGAAATCTATATACTTCATATAATAAAGCCTGTTGGAGGGAGTATCTTATCCATTATCTGATTTAGTCTGTCTTAAAGAAGATGCACAATGGAAAGCAATTAACTTCTGCTGGTTTTCTTCCTCTGGTAAAAGTAACTTCTGTGTGTTTTGTTCGTATTTTATCTAGTCAACAAGGATTAATGATGGAGTACTGAAAAGATACAAACCAAAAGAGATTAAAGGCAATTTGGTACCATGCAATTTAAAGTAGTACAGAGATCTGTACCAGTCAGCAGCAGTAAACCACATGTATGGCATATGTAATACAGCAAGACTTTTTCAAGGTTGTCCATGTTTGCTTTTCAAATATCTAAATATCTGCACACATATACATATATATACATGCATAAATACATACATACATAAATAAAATGTCAATGAAGAATTCAGCTGGAACAGTCACCAGTTTGTAATATATTGTTGTCATGAACAGATTTATGTAAAATTCTACCAAGTTTTATAACCATAGTAACTTATTAAACTAGTCGATTTTATTGACTACTTTTGTAACATAAAATATATTCCATCACCTTGATGAGGACTGTATAAGGATTGGGGGGTGGGGGTGGTGTTTAAATCTGAATTGAAGTATTAGTTTATTACCCATTTCTAATGATCTGAAAGCACTTTTGCTTTTTCAAAGGTAAAAAATAATACAGGATTTTTTGGGGGGGGTTGTTCCCCACCCCCTACCCCCCCTAATAATATTGTACTGTGCCCTTGCCATTTCCAGACATTTGCACTGGTATCTCAGACAGCTCATGTGCAAACAACAGTCTGTCCAGTAATATGGGTTCCATCTAGGATCTTACAACAGAGGAAAATATTTTTGTGACTTCTGAAGACACATAGGTGAAGGTGTTTATAAAATGCAAGCATATGTTTATGTCTTTTTACAGCTTTTCTTATAGATCTGTGAAGCAAAGGGTAACCTTAATCTTAATACTTTCTGGATTTTGACTCTGTAACTGCAGTATTATTCCTTAGTATTTATTTACCTGTCTATCACATGTAGTCATCACAATTTCAAATGCCTTAAATAACTTGAAGCTAACAGTCTTGGGTGACAGAATCAGTACTGAAAGTATAATATTTTTCTCATGTATTTTTCCTGACATCAAAGCATCCTGAAAACGCTGGTAAAAAGCCAGTCAGTCTGCATCTAAATTGTGTTAAAAGGTTGGAGTTCTGTGTCATACTGACAATAGATTTTGTGCAATAAAAAAATTTTTTTTAACCCTTAAGGCTAAATGAAGGTTAAAGGTTATTTGCATGGAATCCAAGTGTTATTCTTTTGATAAACACCTTTTGCCATATATGCCATAAATTTCAATTAATAGTTTGGCATACCAATACTGCAGCACCAGGACACCTACCCTACTACCTACCACCTTTCTTCTTTACACACTGGTGTTGTCATGAGTTGCGATACAACTCATTCAGGTTAGACAACCCAATTTAACTTTTCAGTAAGCCTTTTCTCATTTCCTTTTTTTGTAGCTCAGGCTTGGGAATTAACATGATTTAGAGAACTCAGTAAAACTGCCAGGGGAGGTGTCAAAGAATGTGATGTTGTAAAAACCCATTGACACATTTGCTTCATGTCTGCTTAGCACATACCTGCAGCACCAAAAACTTCCATGTGAAACAGATACTAGATTTTTTTTGCAGTAGATCTCTGTTTCTTAGTAGAATACAGGATGTTGCTCTTGCCAAGACTCTAAGCAAATGGCGCTTGCTGTGCATTTTAAGGTTTTCAGTAACCGACAACTGAAGTTCGTTATGCAGAAAGGGTTAGAATGGAAGCAGCACTGCCAGCAGAGAACATTTGCCATGGGAATGTTTGAACCAGTGGTGTTTCCTTGTAGCAATTATTTATCATTGTTTCTGTAGAATTAATTTCCATGGAAAATATGAGGCTTGCAAAAGTTAAATTTGGAAAAATGTTGAAACAATTTGGCCAAAAGCTGTGAATTTTTGAATGAGAATGATGCCTGTGTAGGAGCTTGAATTAGGGCTCCTTGTGCTCTTACTCCTGTTTCCATTTGTCCCTTTTCACCTAATCAAGAGGGGAAAGGGTCTGAGAGAGAAGACCCTGACCATGGATGTAGAGCCTGACTGGGAACTCTCCATAGAACCACAGAATGGTTTGGATTGGAATGGACCTTAAAGATTACCTAGTCCCATCCACCTGCTATGGAAAGGGACACCTTTCACTAGACCAGATTGCACAGAAACCCCATTCAACCTGGCCTTGAACAGTGCCACGGATACAACATCCACAGCTTCTCTGGGCAACCTGTGCCAGTGCTTCACCATCCTCACAGGGAAGAATTTTTCCTAATGCCTGGCTGGAGCAGACATGTTTTGCCCCCAAAGCTGGTCAGTCTAGAAGCTCCCGTTGTCCTCCCAAGGGCTCCAAGGAAACGGCCCTGGAGCCACAGTCAGCCATTCCGCCTGCCCCTGCCTCTGCCCTGCTCCTGCCACTGCCCTGCCACTGCCTCTGCCCTCGCTTCTGCTCTGCCTCTGCCTCTGCCCCCGCCCCCGCTTCTGCTCTGCCTCTGCCCATTCTCCTGTCCTTCCTCTGCCCCTGCACCTGTTCCTGCCCTGCCCATGCCCTGTCTCTGACGTGCCCCAACCCTACCCTACCCTATCCTTCCCGGCCCCGGCCCCGCTAGCTACCCCCGCAGTCGGGCTCCGCCCCTCTCCCCGAGTGAAAACTATGGCTTCTGCCAATCGACGCCCGGCAGCCGGCAGACGATCTGCATGGGTTGAGGCGTTGCCGTGGGAACCGCGGGGTGCTGAGGGCGCGGGAGCTGGTGTCACGGGTCGGGGGCGCCGGTCCCAGCGAGACCCGGGGTCCGGCCGAGTACAGTAACGCAAACAAGAGCCATCCCAATGCACGGGGCGGACTACGCGTGTGCTCGCCTAACACCGCTGTCCGTTCTTTCTCTTCCCTGAAGGGCAAACTGAACCGAAAGGCAACATCAGAGACGCACAGATGTTGTAGAAATTCGTTATTTCCCAGGAACTCTCTGGAGAGAAGGTAGCGTTTAGGAAGACATTAATCATGTGATGACTTGCACGGACTAGAGTTGTGAATCTGAGTAAGCCTGTGGACTTATTTAGCACAGTAAGGTGTAGGAATGGCTGGGTGAGGAGGCACTGGGGTTTTCCTTCAGTCCTCAAGCCCAATCAACCTTCCTGCCTAGCCCACAGCCACTGGCAGTCGGGATCCTCTGAGCTCAGATCCCTACTTTTCTGGTTTTCACCTGATTTCCCTGTGAAACCCAGGCAATGGTACTGGCCTGAACCTCAGTAAACCAAGGATTAAATATCACAGTCCTGTGACCTGTCCTGACCCCATTGCATCAGTGCTTGACACCAAAGTACCAGCTGGCTAGGATCCTGCTCAGGGGCCCATTTATAGCTAAGTAAAAAGGTCAGCAAGCAAAGATTTGAATGACTTTCTCCCCTCAGACCAGTTAGCTGGTAACAAATGGTGTGTAATAGCACTTACTGCAAGAATAAATCATTTTTATCTGGAATCCATTTCAGTTGAGATTTGCCTGGCAAAAACAGTTTGTGAGTAAACAGCATTTACCAGGTCAAATGTTCTGATTTCCTAATTCCCCTTCACTTTTTTTCGGGAAGTTCATTTGTGTATGTGTGTTGAGGATCAGGAGAATACAAGTGAAATCATAATGGGGAACTGTTTGGATATTGAAAGCTACAAATGTTACTCTGTGTAGAAGAAGACCCTACCTGCCACATAATTACTGATTGTCCTGTGTAGCAGAAATTACCCCTTTCAAGTCTATTCCTGGAAAATATGTGATGCTCAACAATAATGAAAAGTTTTACTACTATAAAAGCCAGATTTTTATTTTATATATTTTATTTTTTGGCTTGGAAAACACCAGGAGAACAGAAACTATTCTATCTTTTCTGACTGGTTTCCTCTTGAAGCTGATTACAAAATTTCTTCTGAAGATACTCTCAGTGAACTGATAGCTCGAGTTATACATTACCACCATTGACTTAATCACAAAATTGTTTATTTATTTAAATCTACTTTTCTTTTTGCTTAACTTCCTCAGACATTGATCTAGAATGGGATGCACTGGTTTCTAATCAGGTGAAATTACAGTTACACAGTAAAAAGCTCAGACATACATGCATTTTCACATGTCACTTAATTTAACCCACATTATTTGGAGATATTTCAGGTTTATATTTCATATGTATTTCTATTGGCTTGTTGAAGTTAATAACATTCTGTTACCTAATGAATTATAAAACAGGAAACAGAACAATATAGAGAGATACACAGGTAACATATGTTCAAGTATAAAATGAGAAAAATACCACTGTTAAGCATAACAAATTACAGAATCACCACAGCTTAGTGGTACCAGGTAAAACTAAATGAAGCTTGTCAGCCACGTCCTCTCACACCACTTCCCATTGATCTAATCTGCAGGAGAAAAATAATAATGTAAAATTATGATGTTTTTAAGATTTCTTACCACAAGACCCTTAAAAAGCATGTCTTCCTCCCAGTAGCCATCATCAGGTTTGTGCTGTAATGCCCTCAACTCTCATGCTGGACAAGATGAGTGCTTCAATAGTCCCCCTCCCACACTGTTTTCTGTAACAGATTTAGTAGGTGGGCATTTTCTTTTTGCGTCATTACCTCATGAATGTTCCTCAAAGCATCAAGATGTACTGTACTATTCATGCAAGATGCAATGATGAGTATTTAACAACTTCTCATTAGGTCTACCAACATTTGAAAAAAGAAATGGGATATTCAGGGTTCTGTTGTTCTAGCCATTTTCCACTTCAGCTAATTTCATCTACTTGTCTAGATTTCTTTTGTTAGATCTCTGTTATTGTGATTTTCTGCTTATCATTTAGTTTTCATATTAATTTTAATAGCCATTGCATAGGAATTTAATATTAATTTTAATAGCCACAGCATAAGGATTGCCATGGTAATAAGACTATCTAGCTAAATATTCTGTTCATAATGAAACTATCAGAAACCTTAGTTATGGAGTCACTTGTCAGCAGAACTTCACTGAAAAATTACTAAGGTTGATTTACACTGTAAAAGATGAGAACATTTACCCCTTCCTTCATAAGGTAATTGTGTTAATGCAGATTATTGAGAAAAGTGTTTTTCTTGCACTGAATCACACTACTGTTCTAGTGACAGGCCTTCAGCCCATGTACATTTTCACCCTTTTGATTCCCCTGACATGTGGCAGTTTGTACAAGCTGACATATTTCGTATCAAACAGACTTGTAACCACTTATGCATTTATCCATCCACTTATATTTTCCCTCTAAAAGATCAGCCTACTTTCTTGAAATTATTGCACAAACTGCATACTCACCATCAATTCCCTGGGAACCAGCCAGTTTCTGCACAGTCCCAGAAATGGAGATGTTGAGCAAAGACATTGGAGCTATCAAGTACATGTAGTTCACCTTGAGCTGGGTAAAATTCCTTGTCTCAGTGTCTACTTTCTCTCATACTTCTGTAAAGTGAGTAGGGTGAACACACCCGGTCTATTCCCTATCTGATATTATTTTGCATAGTGTTAAATATTACAGATCTAATGCAGTAATTGCCAAAGATTAAGTATGATGCACGGTATACCTAGAGTCACCCACACTGGCACTATATCTATGCTGATTTTTGCACAAGTGTGGAGGCAGGGTAACATTATTCATATGAAATATGCATGTGCTAAACAGTTTTATGTAAGTAAAATTAAGGTAATCTTCACTCTGATAAATTGCAATGCATCACTATATAAAATATTGAAAAGCAAAACTTTGTTTGTAGAGAGAATGCCATTACTGAACCAGGTCCAGAATTGTGAATTTTGAAATTCTGACAAATTACATTTTTTCAGCTTCTTTGTGCATCTTGTTCCAGTGTCTCACCACTCTCACAGTAAAACCTTAAACATTCAGAAAAAAATATGTTAGAAAATTTCTAGATGTTTCTAGAAAATAGCACCTTTTTAACCTGATATATTTGAGTCTCAGTATTATTGCCTTGTACTTCTAGTTGTCTGTGTCTATGTTTAATGAAGCCATAAACACCAGCCTCTAGGCTGCAGCTAGCAGGGGGGAGAAGGTACCGCTATACGTGCAGCTGATCCTCTGATGGAACAACCTTCATACTTCGGTGTTTCTGAGTGTGCATTACTCACAAGACATTTAAGCCAGGCTGCTGTGGTGTTAGATTTCACAGACTTGAAGCTGCAAAAGTGGGGGTACTTGCCAATATTTGAGTGTTCGGAGCTTACAAACTGTTTCTTGAGATAGAAGGACACATAAACATGTGGGATCATGCTCAACTATGACAAGATAAAGCATCCTGATGTAGAAAACTATGGATTTCTACATCTCAGTGGTCGTTATTTAAGTTTAATTAAATAATAGATTACTCTTTTCATATGACTGAAGAAAGAGTCTCTAGGGCTAATCAAAGGAGGCTTCTCCAGCCAGGAGCTGTGGTGAAAATGCAGTGCTGATCTGGAAAAATGTGAGGGGTTTAATGTGTGGTTAATTTGCTAAAAATATTGTTGGAAACATAAGAACTTTTTTCCTTTTATCTTTCAGTGAGAACCAGATCCAACAGTAAGATACTACAAATTATCCAATATTTTTGTCTAACTTATGTTTGAGTACTTTGTCTTAACAGATTTCTAAAATTATTTTTAACTGAGCAGTACAAAACAACATTTAGCACAAGAGAAAATACAGCTTACGCTGTTGGTTTGATTTCATTCTCTTTCCCTTAAAGAATAATGGGAAGCCTCATAGAAAACATTTGGAAAGAGCCAAATTGGAAAGAGCCTGAAGCAAGGCTTTTTGGCACTCAACACAGAAAGTCAGTTTGGACCATTCTGACACCTCTTTTCTATGTAAATATAATTAAAACCCAGAAAAGGGCAAAAAAAGTCTTACCTTTAACTGTAAAGGATCAGCCTTAGAAAATCCTGTGACTGAATTAAGTTAGTTTTGAAGCACTAGAAAACATAGATTAATTTCCTTCTCTTCTTGACTTGCTGTGTTACTCTCAGCTGATCATTTAATTCCTCTCTTTCTATATTGCTGTCATTTTAGACTGAGTTGTTCTCCTTTGTCTTTTTAAGCAGTCCAGCCCAGACTGAGAAAACAGGATCTGTGGGTACTATTGTAATGCAACAAGTTGTTGCTTGTTGTTTTTCATCTAAAGCCATTTGAGACATTTGTAATTTATGTAACAGTAAAGTTACCTATTACAACTGAAATAACTTTCCTTTAAACTCCTTGTGAATTTAATACAATTTACACAAATCATCTTTATGAAATGACCAGCATAACAACTGTGATGTTACAAACAGAAAGATTATGACTTCAAGCACTGAGTGATGAACAGGCAGAATGAGTATACAACATCAAGTGTAGTACTGAAATTAAACAAAGGGAAAACTTCCCAGGGTGAAGTGGAGGTTCACATCAGTAAGGACTTACATAGCCACAAATGCTGAGATACTGAATTAACCAGCATCTTTTTGTAAGCTAAAATCAGCTTATTATTTTTTGTCACTGACAACCTCATCTGTAGCTGGGCTTATATCGGGCTGTTGTATATGGATGACACCATTTGGAGCCATATGTTTTTCCTTTCATTTAATGTATCTCTGTGGCTTGTCCCACACTTCCTCAGACAGAGTAAACCACACAGACATTCTCATAGCTCTGTTATGGGAATCCTGATTTTATAAGCATTCTCCAAACATATACGACATCTCCAAAGAGCCTCCTGGATGTAGGCCACTGCCACCTCAAGCAAGTACCTCATATAAATCTTTCTCATATCTTTATCAAGTACTGTTTTAAAAATAGTAAAGGAATCAGCTCTTCCCACTATTTATTTTGCTCATTTATGGTTCTCCCTCCTCATCCAGACTTTAAAATTGTCTCTTTTAGAGGGAGTCAAACATGTCCAAGGGGTATTACTCTGAGATATATAAGCTTGAAAGTTCTGTGACCTTTGTTCTAGCTTGTTTTTATCTAATACAAGGATTTATCTTGTCTCTTTCTGAGCTGGGGAAAGTGACAGTAAGCCAGTCACATAGTTTAAACAGAGTTTACAGTCTGATACAGCTGCAGATGGAGAGGCCATAGTATCAGTCCACATGCATAAAATGTACATAAACAGATTCCTCAGATTGTCACAACTGTTCCTTTATTTTGTCCATTGAAAAGGCATGGTTGTGTCTGAGCAGCAGAGGGCTTCATGCAATGTGCTCTTCTACAAAGTAAACTTATTTTTTTTTCAGCTAAGAGATCTCCATGTGGAATTCTAGCAAAGTCAAAAGCAGTAATGTTGAGGATACGTTGGAAACAGTCAATTTAAGCCTGAGCTAGCACAAATGTTTTGTTCAATTCAGTCAAGGAATCCATGCTCATAAAATGACCTTATAATGGGTTTTGAGGAATTGTTTAAATCAGAGAATCAAGAGAGATGAAAAACAGAGGGTCAGTCTTCAGAAACAGGTTGCATACAGGAAATAGGAAACGTATGTGTCAACTTTGCTTTCAAGTTCCAGCACTAACATGAAAGAAGACACAAAGAAGGCGACTTTGGGGAAGAAGTTTCCACCTGCTTGTATAGGTTGGATGACACATGGCAGGTAAGGGCAAGTAGCATTACTGAGGCATGGATAATAATACTATTGCTGTAAATTCTGGTTAGGTTAAGATGAAGAGTAGTGTTGCAAGTGTTCCAGTTGCCTCTGACAAGAGGGTAAGTGATGTACTGAGCTATTTTCACTCTTGTCATTCTGTTCTATTTTGGACAAAGTGAAGCTGTCAGCCTGATGCTGAATAGTACTTCCTTTGCTTTTAATTAAACTTCCTTGCTTTTAATTAAAGTGCACTCTTCAATTAGTTGCAAGTGCCCTGTTCATGAGATTGTTTTTAAAGTATTGTAGTCAGTGAAACGGCAGAGAAGAGGAATGTTTTCTCACAGCTATATTCAATGATCAACAGCACCTTTCAACTTTACTAAATGACATGTTGAAACATCTCTAAGAAAAAAAAAAAAAAAGAATTTTTTATGTTTTGAAAAGAAATGTTAAATCCCAACACTGATTTACTTCCACACCTTTACCACTGCTCTTGAGAAAAGAAGAATTTAACTGCTCATATGTCTTTTCGGTTCACACTGAATTTATAGGAAGTTTCCAAATAATAAAGGTCAACTTGGCAGGAATAAATGTAGACCAAATGGTGTAATCCCCACAAGGAAGCATAATTCTCTCATGAAGTATTTACAATAGCAAGCTTGGAAATCCAACAATAGGTTACATTGTTAATAGGTTGTTTACAGCATCTTTTATTGACTGATTCATTCTTAATGGTAACAGATTTAGTCACCTAACATTCTTCATGTGGCAGGCAGTTCCGTGACCACTGTTGCTTTAAGAATCCTCTAAGGTAGCAGAAAATATTACTCTGACATAAATCAATAAATAGGATATAAATACGACCTTGCAGAGTTCAGAAGTTTCATGAAATGTAGCTGAACTTTCTGATGCTCCCTTCCTGTGACCCTCCAATCACCCTTATCTCCCCTGCCTTCATGACCCTTTAATGTTCCCCTGGCTTTCCATTCTCTTCATCCCCCTAAAAGCTTGGCTACTTCCCGACTTGGATTCATCCAACAGGCCATCCTCCCTGGAAACTCTCCCAGACTTTGAAAGGGCTTTGCAGTAGAGTAGCCTCAATGCTAGTTTGCAAATTTAAATTTCACATACTACTGACATTCACCTAACTGCACAACCTTGTCAAAACTGGCAAACTCCTGCAGTGGCAAGTTGTGGTACAAAGTGATTAGCTTTCTGTAAATTATGGTAAGCAAATTCAGGCCTTCTAAAAGGAAAACAAGGGAAAGGCTTTGGGATCTGTTGAAATACTTTCTACACAGTTCACAAAGATTTTTGCATTAAGAGAACACTGCTGGTAGGGGCAAAAGGAACTTTAAAATGCGATAGCACCAGTTTGAAAACAGCTAGATACCCAAGTAAGTATTATTAATTGCTACTGTCAAAACTGCTTGAAACCTTTGTTTCTGTGTTAGTTTGTAGCATGCTTTTCCACAATGTATGTCACAATTATATATTGTATAGGAGTCAGACAAATAAAAGTCTTTCTGATACCTGAAGCAAAAATTCCAGTGCTGTAGTTTTGTGTATCGTTTAACATACATTATATGCTTATCTGATACTTCTATGCTACAGCCTTGTACTTTATCATATTTTCTACAGGCTGAAGTTACCTAATAGAGTTTTAGGGAGGAATTAAATTAAAGTATAATGTTTCTCAGGAATTTTTACAGCTAACTACAACTAACTGTTTCACAGACATTTATTCCAGTACAAACCACAGATTGTCTCTGATGGTCTTCACATCTTCCATTTTGCATACAAACAAATCTGAGCTTCGTAAGACATTTTGTGAAATGAGAGCGTCACAAGCGTCCCTGGAATATGCAGCTTTGTGAATATCTAAGCAAGCAGTATGAAGGTAGCAATCCAAACATCTTTGTGTGCCTGGCAAGATGTGAACCTGCTGACAATTTGTTTCTTTTCACTGTTCTCCATGTCCTAGAATATTTGTGAGAAACTAGAGCCAGATCAGTGCTTCTCAGTGGCACAGACAAAGTCTGAGTAAGTTTGCCATTTCAAAACAAAACTGTGAAAAAGAAAAATCTCAACGAAAAAACATACCCTTGGGTTTAGGAAAATTCAGCCCCTGTGTTCAGAGGTATGAGTGATAGGGGTGAAAAGGCTGCTGAGTGGGAACAAAGTCTCCCATTGTGACATCCAAAAAAAAAAAAAAAAGCAGTTCAGAGGAGATCCAGATTCTTGGTTGCAGCAGAGAGTGACCTGAAATGAGTCAGTGGATAAGTGGGTGGATAAATTTGTGAGTTAGGAACCCCCTAAAAGTTTGGAAGGGTTGAGATAAAGTTTGAAATATTCTGCAAGGACAGGATAGTTGTTAAGTCAGATGTTTCTTTTACTGTAAAGTAGACAATGGTGACCTTGCTGTCCTTTGCAGTCCCCTATCTATGCAATCCCTTACTTGCTTAAGACTAAAGCTAGACTGCTAGTTATTTTGTATTCTTGAAATAAAACAATAACCTGCGCTGTAACAGGCTTACAGTCTGAATTTTATTTTCTGATCCTTGGAGGGCCAGCACAAAATACTGTCTCCTTGAGAAATGAACATTTAAGCGATACAGTTGAAAACTGAAAAATGTTTAGCACTGTCTTCTTGAGACTCAACAGAGTGCCCTAATCTTCTACTTGTATGTCATGCTGTTCAGCCCCAAAGCATCTCAGTAGCCTTTTGATAAACTTGTTACATTTTATTAATATCTGTTCTGTAGTGGAAAAATCACAACTGGTCAGAGAATTTGATACACCACCTCACAAGTGCTGAGTAAAGGGGTCTCATAACTTCTTCAGCCTACAGACTGGGAACATTTCTTCTGTCTGTCCCTTTGGAGATCAGACATTAATATCCCATTAACTGACTTGTTTTCAATTTCTCTTGAGACAGTGAAATTATGTTTAACTATCAACATAAATGGCTTACAAATTAAAGACTGTGACAAAAATACCAGTTCTGTCAATAGCTGAAAATAAAGCATATTGATTATACTCAAACTCACATGTATCTCAGCAGCTTCTGTTTGTGCAGAACTATCTTCTTTCATGTCCTTTAGGAGTTTACAGTCTCTGAGACTAGAATTTAGATTTACATGGTTCAGCTGATCACTGGAGGTTGAATGCATGTGGTTATCTGCTATTTAAAAATATAATAGTAATAGTAATGTAAACTCATCCTTGTGATAAACTATTGGTTGGTATCCTTAACAAGAGAGGTAGTGTTTATTAGTATGTCCTGATTTAATTTGTTTCAGGATCATGTAAAACCAAAAGACAGACCAAAACCACACAAAAACCCCCTTTCCCTACTGAAATAGCCATTAAGTGCAGTTTTCAAGCTTTGAAGTCCCTAGAATAGTCTGGCCCATGAAACTGAATTAAGAAGATGGAGCTTCATGCTGGCTAACAAGAACTTTTCCAAGACCTTTTTGTGTCAGAGAGACAGAGGAGTTTCTTGAAATGTACTCTTCGTGGAAAGAAATGTCGAGAATAAGAATGTGAAGAAAACCTGTATTGCTTTGCTAAGTGCCAGAGAAGCCCATACTAGTGCCTCTAGCATCTTGCCTTCAGAGCAGGGTTCATCACCTAATGTGTCAGATCTTCCAGGAATTTTGCCCAAAGTAGTGCATCCAGAAGCTGGACCCCAGGACAGGAGAGCAGGCACTGCAATAGTATCAAAACAGGTTTTTCAAACATGTCTCAGACGTCACTGAATCGGCCCATCATCCCACAAAGAAGACCTCACTTCAAGATATGCTGAGGTGAGTAGCTCGTCAATTGCTGAGGTGAGTAGCTCGAGAGAGGACGCCTTGAACACCCGAGCTGGGGGGAGATCAGCGTCCAGGAGCCTCAACTCAGAGCGCCAAGGGCCACCGAGGGAGCCTCAAGTCCTCGACAGGACCTGCCCAGGAGCCGGCAGCTCAGCTGACGCGAACAGGGACTCACAGGGGGCGGAGCCAGGAGGAGCGGCACCAGCCCTGAGTGGGTAAAAACCTGCCCCAGGGAGCGCGAGCGACCAGGAGTGGGTCGAGGCACTTTGCAGGGGCAGGCGAGCAGGATGGTGAGCACTCGCCGCATGACCAGGGCCCGGTCTGGGAGCTCTGCTCTGGCTGCCCCGGCAGTGGCCACTATAGGCACTCACTCAGAGCCAATGAGAGGGGAGGCTGCAGTGCAGACTTCCGGGTGTAGAGAGTGCCTGCACTGCTCTGGTGAGGGAAAGGTGCAGAATGGGCAGGGCTGCACTCGGTGCTCCCTGGTGGAGGTACTCCTGCAGCAGGTGGCTGAGCTGCAGGAAGCTGTTAATAGGCTACAAGATGTCAGGGTAGCTGAGAGGAAGTAGGAATGCTTGCTCCCTGCCCAAACTGTGCAGGGTCCTCAAGCTTCCCCTGTAGCTCATGGAGGAAAGAAGGAGGCCATTAACCTGCGAAGCTGGGAACTGGTGACAAAAAAAAAAAAAAAAAAAAGGAGGAAAAGGACAATTAAAAGCAAGGGACTTCTTCCTCCTAAACCTATTGCCCCCACACAGAACCGCTTTGCTGTCCTGCAGGGGGCTCATGAGGAAACGCACTTGGGCCAGAAACAGCCAGCTGATGTACTGGTAAAGAAGATCTCTACTGGTGCTGCCAGGAAAAATCAGCGGGTCGTAGTAGTAGGGGATTCTACTTTGAAAGGGACAGAAGCACTTGTCTGTCGGCCTGACCTGGTCTCAAGGGAGGTGTGTTGCCTACCAGGGGCACGGATCAGGGATGTGGCAGAGAGGCTGCCTGCTCTGGTAAGCCCCACAGACTATTACCCACTTCTGGTGATACATGTGGGTGCTAGGGATATATATAGTAGTAGCCTGGGGAGCATAAAGAAGGACTACAGAGCCCTGGGAGAGGTGGTTAGGGGCTCTGGAGCTCATATAGTCTTTTAGTCTATTCTCCAGGATACAGGGGAGGACCTAAAAAAAGCTAGGAGGATTAGCCAGGTTAATAAATAGTTAAAAGGGTGGTGTCACAGTCAGGGGTTTGGGTGTCTTGAACATGGGACCCAAGTTTGTAGGCCAGGTCTAGTGGGGGCTGGTGGAGCTGGTCTAAGGGAAAGAGCAGTTTTGGTAGGCTTGCCAGACTGGTCAAGGAAGCTTTAAACTAGATGTGTTGGGGGAGGGGGGCATCATTCCATCCCAACACACCCAGTCAGTTTCCAGCACCTATAATAAATGCTCAGAGCAATGCAGAGATATTCCAGCTGCTCCAGCCAATGAACCGGCTTCATTTGGAGCTGGGCTCAGATGCCTCTATACAAATGCCCATAGCATGAGGAACAAACAAGAGGAATTAGAGATGTGTGCACGTCTATGGGGGTATGACATTATAGACATCACAGAAAGATGGTGGGATGGCTCCTATGACTGGAGAGTTGGAATGGAAGGTTACAGACTCTTTAGAAAAGACAGACCTGGCAGGCGCGGAGGGGGAGTTGTCCTTTATGTTAGGGATAGGGTGGAGAGTATCGAACTCTGTCTGGGGACTGGTGAGCAGTTAACAGAGAGTTTGTGGGTCAGGGTTAAAGGGAAAACAGCGATGGAAGACATTACTGTGGGGATCTGTTACAGACCACCTCATCAAGAGGAATCTGTGGATGAAGCACTCTATCGGCAGATAGGAAAAACCTCATGCTCAAGGCCCTCGTTCTCATGGGTGACTTCAACCACCCTGACATCTGTTGGAATGACGGTATGGCCTGGCACAAGCAATCCAGGAGGTTCCTTGATTGTGTGGAAGACAACTTCTTTCTGCAAGTAATAGAGGAACCAACAAGGAGAGGTGCCATGCTTGACCTTGTGCTCACCAACAGGGAAGGGCTGGTTGGAAATGTGGCACTGCAGGGCAGCCTTGGATGCAGCGACCACGAGATGGTTGAATTTGAGATCCTTAGGACAGTGAGAAGAGCATACAGCAAGCTCACTGCCCTAGACTTCAAAAGAGCAGACTTGGGCCTCTTCAGGAACCTGCTTAGTAAGGTTCCATGGGATATAGCCCTAGAGGGCAGGGGCGCTCAAGACTCTTGGTTGGTCTTCAAGGATCACCTGCTACAAGCTCAGGAGTGTTGCATGCCAACCAGAAGGAAGTGCAGCAGGAGGGCCAGGAGACCTCCTTGGATGGATAAGGAGCTGCTGAGGAAAATTCAAATGAAAAAAGAGTTTTATAGGAAGTGGAAGCAAGGACGGGCGGACTGGGAAGAGTACAGGGATGTTGTCCGGGAAGCTAGGGACCAGGTTAGGAAAGCTAAGGCCCAGTTAGAAGTCAACTTGGCTAGGGATATTAAGGATAACAGGAAGGGATTCTACAGGTACATAGCAAATAAGAAACAGATTAGGGAGAACGTAGGCCCCCTCAGGAAGCTCTCAGGTGAACTAGCTACACAGGATTTGGAGAAGGCTGAGGTTCTGAATGACTTCTTTGCCTCGGTCTTCTCTAGCAAAGGCTCAGACCGCACCACCCAAGTCTTGGAAGGCAGATGCAGGGACTGTGAGAATGAAGACCTTGGGCCCACTGTAGGAGAGGAATTGGTTCGAGACCATCTTAAAAATCTGAACGTGCACAAGTCCATGGGTCCTGATGAAATCCATCCGCGGGTCCTGAAGGAGCTGGCAAATGAAGTTGCTAAGCCGCTGGTGAAGTTCCCGACGACTGGAAAAAGGGAAATATAACCCCCATTTTCAAGAAGGGGAAAATGGATGACTCGGGGAATTACAGACCAGTCAGTCTCACCTCTGTGCCTGGCAAAATCTTGGAGCAGATTCTCCTGGAAGGCATGCTAAGGCACATGAAAAACAACGAGGTGCTTGGTGACAGCCAGCATGGCTTCACTAAGGGGAAATCCTGCCTGACCAATTTGGAGGCCTTTTATGATGGGGCTACAGAGCTGATGGACAGCGGTAAAGCAGTTGATGTCATCTACCTGGATTTGTGTAAAGCATTCGACACTGTCCCACACAACATTCTTGTCTCTAAATTGGAGAGACATCAATTTGATGAATGGACCACTTGGTGGATAAAGAACTGGCTGGATGGCTGCACACAAAGAGTTGTGGTCAATGGCTCAATGTCCAGCTGGAGACCATAACGAGTGGTGTCCCTCAGGGATCGGTGTTGGGACAGGTCTTGTTTAACATCCTCGTCGCTGACATGGACAGTGGGATTGAGCGCACCCTCAGCAAGTTTGCCGATGACACCAAGCTGTGTGGTGCGGTTGATACGCTGGAGGGAAGGAATGCCATCCAGAGGGACCTTGACACGCTTGTGAGGTGGGTGATGCCAACCTCATGAAGTTTAACCATGCCAAGTGCAAGGTCCTACACCTGGGTTGGAGCAATCCCAGGCATAGCTACAGGCTGGGCAGAGAAGAGATTCAGAGCAGCCCTGCGGAGAAGGACTTGGGGGTGCTGGTTGATGAGAAAATGAACATGAGCTGGCTTCAGTGTGTGCTTGATCCCAGAAAGCCAACCGTATCCTGGGCTGCATAAAAAGGAGCGTGACCAGCAGGTCGAAGGAGGTGATCCTGGCCCTTTATTCTGCTTTTGTGAGACCTCACTTGGAGTATTGTGTGCAGTTCTGGTGTCCTCAACATAAAAAGGACATGGATCTGTTGGAGGAAGTCCAGAGGAGGGCCATGAGAATGATCAGGGGACTGGAGCACCTCCCATGTGAAGATCAGCTTGATGAAGTTGGGACTGTTCAGCCTGGAGAAGAGAAGGCTGTGTGGAGACCTCATAGCAGCCTTCCAGTATCTGAAGGGGGTCTATAGGGATGCTGGAGATGGACTCTTCATTAGGGGCTGTAGTGATAGGACAAGGGGTAATGGGTTAAAACTTAAACAGGGGAAGTTAAATTGGATATAAGGAGGAAATTCTTTCCTGTTAGGGTGGTGAGGCACTGGAATGGGTTGCCCAAGGAGGTTGTGAATGCTCCGTCCCTGGCAGTGTTGAAGGCCAGGTTGGACAAGGCCTTGGGTGATATGGTTTAGAGTGAGGTGTCTCTGCCTATGGCAGGGGGGTTGGAACTTGATGATCTTAAGGTCCTTTTCAACCCTAACTATTCTGTGATTCTATGATTCTATATCTGTGGCAGAGAATTCGGATCACAGTCTATATCTATACATGAACCCCAGTGCCTAGAAAAGTGGCGTACTGAAAACAGTCAGCTACCAAGTCATCTCAGAAGACCTGAGCCCAAGAGACCTGAGGTCCTTACTGGTGGTTCCTATATGCTTGCAGCTGAAAATGAGGGAGCTTATCAGAGTGCTCAAGCCCATCTCCTGCCCTGTAGAAACTGTGGCCGAACCTTCTTTCCTGACCGTCTCATGGTGCATGAAAAAGTGTTGCAGAGGAGGTAGCAGCACTGTAGGGGAATCAAGCACTAGCCCCACTAAATCTGGTAAAGGCCCAGGCTTTGGGTCTGGCTCAGCAAGTGATCCGCCTAAGACCCTTCAAGGAAAGAGTGGGGCTGCACCAGCCACATCAGACAAGGTAAATTGCTAAGCATGTGCTGTATGAAAGGGTGTGGATCCATTTTGATGCTAAACACTCCAGGGAAGACTGGGTTCCCATAAAATTTAAAATCACTTTCCTTCAGAAGGGTCTTTTGGCTCCAAGACAAATGTTTCTATGCTGAACAGTATGTAAAGGGAAGGGGAATACTGTGTATGCAAGGGAAACTGCTTATTCCTATTTCTTTCGATTTTCCTACTGAAAGGGAGAAGTTGGGTTCTCATACTCCGTGGTCCTGTAAGCATTATGTCCCCAAAAGGGACCATTATGTGCTATGGTTCCCAAGTAGTTTCTATTGGGCAGGTCAGGCAAGCTTCGAATTTTATGTTTTAGCAGGTATTAAGTATTTTTATTTAGCTAACATGAAATACAATGTTTCATTATCCTGTAAGCCCTCCAGCGATTTTCATTTTTTACCATTATTCTTAGCCTTGGCGTGGAACATGAGTTTACTGAGTACTGCATGTTCAAAAGCAACAACTTGGGGTATAACAACAAAATAAATAAGACTGCACATTTCTTTCCACTGAATTTGATTCAAGATCCAAGAATAAAGAAGCTGATTCACATTATCCAAAAACTACACAAAGTGTTGGAAAATGGCATATTTTTTTTTCCTGCACTTGCTTCTACACAGGCTGTCTTTTGGCCAGGAGTTTTATAAGGTAGATGTTTAAATATAGTCCCGATGTCTAAAATAAAAGGCTTTTTTTTGTTTGTTTGTTTTCAGTGGAGGTTGGACTCCTGATTGCCTACACTACTTTTGAAAATGGGATTTAGCTTTCTCAGTCACCAAAGGAGAACAATGCTATGTAGAGCATTTATGAAGATGTTTTAAAAGTCAAAACATGCTATAATTTCCATCTGTTGAATGAAATTGAGATATTAGTGTTACCTAAACAAACACGAGAATGAAGACAACATGGGTCATTTTTATATTTTGCTATTTGAGGCCACTAACTCATAGTTATTGGCAGGTTAAATCCACTCCTCAGATCTTTTATCAGCAGATTTCAAATCACCCACTAACAGTTCAAAGTGCTGCACAGGTGTATCTATGGCTTTAGGGAAGATATGATACACTATATTGTACCATTTACCAAAGAACTGGCATTCCTGTAAAAGGTGGTTGTTCAGTGAAAGGCAGAGGTGTGAAACAAGAGAGTTTTATGCATCATACATAATTCTGTATGTTTAAATTAAAAAAAAAAATATATATGTGTGAGGGAGAGGGGAAGTGTCCACAGTTATAATATCAAAAAAAAAAAAAAGCCCAAACAAAACAAAACAAAATAATTAAAAAAAAAAAAAAAACAAAAAAACACAAAACAACCAATTTTAGAGTGTGGTTTGGCTTTGACAGTGACCCTGCAAAAATGTTGCTCTCTTGCACAGTATCTCCTTCCTATGTGGATCCAGTCACATCTCTTGACTGTTGAAAAACATTATTATTACCACTTTTTACTTCCATGAGCTCTGCAGAAATGTGTTCAAATCTGTTCCTCCTTCTGTGTGAACAACATGTTTCTTCATTTACGTGCAAGCAGTCACAGTTCATCAGTTGCGGCAGAAGCAATAAGGCTTTAAAGCTTGCAATTTGTAATTGACTCTGAATGACTTTATTATTAACAATAACTTTCAGGAAGGGATGATTTTGCCTCTCTGAGGTCCTTCATTTTTATTAGTTTTATAGCTGTCCTTTTGAACAGAGGTACAAAAGGCAGAGATAGGAATGGAGAGAGTGAAGGAAATATCCTGTGAACCCAGCAGCTGATCAGTTCTGGCAACCTGTGTCTAAGAAGTGCTTGAAAGAAGCCTCTTTTCCATAGGTGTGTGTGAGGGTCACCAGCTCCAGTTAAAAGCTGAAGTATGTTGAAAAGCAGTAAGGTAACAGAGGGCCTGCAAGTTCGCTATGAACTGGGACAAGGTCTGGGTCTTCTTTACAGTCTTCATCTTTTTCCAGCATATGGTTTTAATTTTGTTCACCTTACAGATACTCAGCTGCTTATTAATTCTGCTAAAGAATAGCAGTAATGGAGTGAAATGGCAACCTGCTTTGGTCCTGGCAGGAAAGCATTTGGAGCTTTAAAAGTTTGAAAGTCCTGATTCAGCAAAATGCCAAAGGGAAGGAATCACTGTAAAAAAAAAAAAACAAAAAAAAACACCCCAACCATTATATAAGTCAAATTACCTCATGCAGTTAAAGATGTCCGAAATTAAAAAGCTGTGGTTTCCTCATTTGAAAATAAATATCTGACTGATTTGATGCTATATCATGTGAAGGGCATTTTAACTTTACATCTGCAAACCCTTTTATCTGCATGCATCTGTCCTGGAGCTCTCTTTCCCTTAGCCAGTGCAGGATCAGGTAGACCAGTATCATTACTGACAAACAGTTCACCATAAAATGCCTTTACACCTGGAGACTCAACAGCCTCCATAATCCATCTCTTCCATTAACTGTCCTTCCCTTCAGAATCCATGAACACATCTGGGTTAATCATGTCTCTCTGTGTAAAACAGTCTATGTTTATAAAGAGACAGGGGTCACCTCAGTTCAGAAATTCTGTTTGGTTTGTGCTGTGATATCCCAGACAATGGGAGTGATGTCTGGAAATACAGAAACTCAGAACTGCACTAGAGCACAGTGTGTTTTTTATTCTTTCACAGACCAAAATGTCTGCTACATGTAAGTATTAATAACTTGCTGTGGGTATATACAGTACAGTTTTTTTGACAGCAGATAATGCTGCTCCTAAAAGACTATCAGATATGTCGCTAGCATCTGATGCTGCCACCTGCTGTTTCCTTCTTATCAAATTAACTATTTAAAAATAGCATTTCAGGGACATATATCCTTTACTGTATTACAATGCATTTTAACACAATGTTAAGTTCTGAAAACCTGTATAGCAAAAGAATATTGATGTTGCACCTTGCTCTAGCATAAAGTCATCTACTTACTTGGTAAAATGAAAACTCCTTCAGAGACTGTGCAATTGTAATGAAAGCTGGGAAGTCAGTAACAAACTGTCTGCCTCTTTTGCAAACAGTTTCTAAGTTTCGAACATCTTAGAAGAATGCAAATATATTTGCAAATGTAGAAAGCTGGATGAGAATGGACAGCAAATGGATGGTTTGAGTGAAACTTACTGAGTATTGCCACTGTGAAGGATTGAGCTTCCTGCTTTTCTGCCTTTACGCGAAATACCAATGTATTTCTCTGAAAAGACAGCAGATCAGGGGTAAAATGTGATATTTTAGTGCTTCCAGTGGAGTAAAATCTTTCATCATCTGGCAGAATTACTTTGTTGTTCAAGGAAATTTCATATGTTGGCGTATGACCTGTGCTAATGTTAATCTGCTGTTGTGTCAGGGCAGCGGCTAACAGCACTTTAGAGGGCTTTGAAATGCACCTTCAAATGGTTGTGAGAGCCCTGCTACAGCTTGTCCCTGTCCCTTATGTAAAATATCTCTTACTTCCCAGAGAGAAATGTGTGGAAAAGGCTGCTTTCATACAACACAATGCTGTTGCTAAGTGTGTGCACCAGTCTTTTCCTGAGCCTTGGTTCCTTGGGTAGTTCAAGTCTACAATGAGAGCTCTGACCTAGAGCAGGAAGCCTTCCCTCCTCCCGTTCAAATACATGCATAATTAACCAAATAAGGAGGGTGTGGGGGATGCACAGTCCCTGATGATAAGTATTTGTGAGGGGGTTTTGGCAGTCAGTTTTATTGGGTGTACTTAAGAAGAAATTAAAAGCTTTGTGCAGTATAGGGACATTTGACCTCACATAACACCATAACAGCAGCCTGGGGCTAACCTCAAGTAATGTTGGGTCTATTGAAAATACATAGTGGCGTAGCCCTCTGAGCTAAATAACTTCATTCATGGTCACACAGACATACTTAGCAGTCTTGGATAAAAAAGAAAATACTGAGACATCAGAGGAAAGCCTAAGTGCACAGTCAGGTATTTGTAGGTATTTTTATAATAACACATATCCTCAGGAACAGACCTTCCCTACAACACTTTTTAAAGTGAAAAACAAAGCAGTGAGCAGACAGCCTAGCCACTGGCCTGTAAGTAGTTTGGGTTGGAAAATTGTGGTGATTCCAAAAATAGTTTAGTTTCAAACTGCAGGCCTCCAGATGTGACATTTGGGACAGGCACACTCTGAAGAGAAAAAGAAATGAAGGATAAATATTATCAGCTGTAGAAATTCCAAAAATAAAGCTTATCATATCTTAGATTCCACAGTGAAACAACAATAGAGCTGTTACTACCAGCTGTAAGGATATTCTCCTTCAAGTTTTATTTTTCAGCTTTTTAACAAATATGTATTTGCATAGAAGGATTTCTGTACATAATTGGACTTGTGGTGGTGGTTCAAACTCACTGCATTTCGGGGGGGGGGGGGGGGGCCCAATCCATCCTTAAAGTGATCTGATCAGTTTTCATTAATTCTAGTCTCTGCTGTTGTTTCTGTACAGCTTTTAATTGTCGAAGTTACAAAATAGACGTTTCTACTTGAACAGATTTTTTAAACATTAGTTTGAACAAATAGGATTTAGTTATGAATCAATCCCAATAGATAACTTTGGAACCAGAATCCTCTATTTAACTGCAGGCCTGGTTTCACTCATTTGCAACAAAAAAGCCACCTATAAACACTCTGTCACAAGGTGGAGGATTCACAGTACTGCTCATTCAATCTTTGGGTTTTCAGGTGAGACTGCCAGAACAAGAATCTCAAAACTGTGGAAATGCATCCAGGTTTCACTGGATAGAGATCACTGACTCTTGTCTTGATCTGTGGCAGTTGTTCAATAGTAAAACATTACAGTAACTTTAAAACAAGTGTAATGGATTTGAATGAGGCAGTCAGAGACAAAAGGGTATCTTTGTTCACTAGGGAAATATAGCTAAGATGAAAAACTATGATTTTTACAAAGACATTTCTGTTTGTCTGTTAAATTTATTGAGAGTATTTAATTTTTTAAGTGATTTCTCACCTGTCTAATATCAGGACTTAGGTTCCCTTGAAACTATACATTTATTTTAATTATGCTGCCCCATATGTTAGCAACTGCAGTGCAGGCTAAATAAGCATGATTTTCATTTATACTAGGATCCCATTTCCCTGTTCTGGTAGTACGTAAAGAGTCTCTACAAAGTGAATGTAAATCAAGTTGCTCTTTCCTCATTTTCAGCCAATAAATAATCTATTTCACTGAATGGCAGGAACCTAGCTAATGAAAACTAGCGAGGAAAATGTGTTTCCAGTGTTTTTACACTGAGCATTTTTTTTAGAAAACCATTTTCAAAATGCTATAAACATACACATGATAATCATGCATACTGAAATGAGCCTCCTGACCTCAAGGGTTTAGACAGTATTATCCTTATCTAAAGCTCTCTGGAGCCTACAAAAAAACATTCACTGTGTTCAAAAGACTCTGTATCTTATCTCCATATCGGACAAGTAAGGAAGCAGGTGAAAATTGATAATGAAGAATTAGAGGGCATTCTTAAAACAGCTGTTGCTATATTCAGCTATGGAAAGGAAGAGAAGGTTATGTATATATATATAAAAAACTTTGTTATCAAAGATAGCTAAGGAAAAAGTTAAGTGGATGAAAATGTCCTTGGAAAAAACATCTTTGGATAAGCTATATTTCAAGTCACTGTGAGAACTTTCCAGATGAAGTCCAACTTTTCCCAGCAAAAACACATTTTGTAGAGTAGTATTTCTTCATGTAATTGAGTTTACATGTGTGATACAGGAAAGAAAGCTTATGCAGATCATTCACTAATGACATTTTCAGACTCGAGCATAAATGCGAGAAAAGCTGCCCAATTTCTTGAATACACTGATGAATACACAGAAAGAATCATAAATACTAGAAACAGGTTATGCTTTGTCTTACACAGGAGCAAATGAGAAAATTAAATCCCCACCTCCCTTGTTTGAGTGAGAAAGGCTTCCTTTGTTTGGTCTGGAATGGCTGTCCCTCTGCCTTTAGGGGAGCAGCCTATAGCATGACTCTTACTGGTGTGCTGCAGTCAGTAGTGCAGGCAGTGCTAGCAGTAGTGAGACCCATCAGCATGTCTCAAAGTGCTGCCCATGGCCCATGCAGTACGTTTTTACACTATTCTGGAGCAGGGCTCGTACTGACAGCATGCCTAGCCCAGGACACACCTAACAACACAGTCAAACCCATTATCCTCAATACCACAGTAATTATATATCTTTTAAGCTTAGAATACGCATGTGTGGGGTTTCTGGTTGAGGGATTTTTTTCTTCCATTGTGATGTTTTTCTCTGCAAACAAAAGCAGATCTGCAGTGCAGAAACAATAACTTGTTTAGCATCCAATTCACTGCAGTCACTGGCAACTTTCACACTGAGGACTTCAAGGTAAACAAACAACAGTTCATATTTTGCCCCCCCCCAATCCTCAAAAATCCTGGATTGGTTTTAATCCTTCCAGACCAAGAATTCCACCATCTTGCTGGTCTATGGCAGAAGTAACACATCATTAGGGACCATAATCACAAGCTTGAGACAGCTACCTTCATTGCCTGGCTGAAGAAAGATCCTGAGGCTGAACACAGTGCTTTAACTATGTTCTGCCTGGAGATGGGGTCTTTCTGCTACTGTGTTAGACATCAGCAGTTCAGCTGAGGAAGCTCTTGTTGCTGCTTTCCATGACCCTTTTCTTCCATAGGTAAAAAAAGAGCTTCAACATTTAACGTGGACACTGTGCTGCAGCAACTTGATCACGCAGAGGAGTTGTTTCTGCATGTGAAGGCTCAGCACTTCCATCAACTCGATGGCGTGAAAATAAAAGATCTAAAAGTTACATAGCAAAGTATTAATTAGGTGACACACACAGATTGTCAGCCCAATATCTGCAGGAACCTACCTGTCCCAGTTGGCTGGTTAAGGAGAGTATTTCTTGCAACCTTCAAGACTCTACCTAGACAAAACAAAACTGATAAACTGATACAGTTACACTGATTTCATAGGTGTAAATAGTTTCCTTAATCTACATAATTGTCTCAATTCAAAGTTGTTCTCACTCAAAATTAATGTTGAAAACAGTATTTTTATTCTCACATTATTTGCAGGCACAAGTGATAAAACAGCCACCAACAGTGATTTGTTACATATGTGGCCGTGAGTATGGAACAAAATCAATTAGTATCCATGAGCCACAATGCCTGAAAAAATGGCACCAGGATAATGCCTTGCTACCCAAGCACCTGAGAAGGCCAAGGCACAAAAAAGCCTGAAGTCACACCTGTGCAAGGTAAGCTACAGATTAAATAAGAAAATGGGAGGAAGAAAGTGGGAGGAATAAAAACAAAATAAACACATAAAATTTAAGCAGTAGTTTAAGCAGTAGTTTAGACCATCGTGATACAGCTTAGTTTTACCCTACTGATGATTTGTTGTTGCAATTGTAATCCTGCTCAGTTGTCATTCTTGTTCAGAATGCATGGACACAGCTCTTCCCGAATCTTCATTAGCGAAGACAGGTCTTCCTCATAGAAGAAGGAAAAGTATCCTCAAACCCGGGCTGATGGAGCTCGTCTAGCCTTGTAAGGTCTTCCATCTAAGGGAAGGACACACTTACAAAACCTATGACCTGTGGACTTTGCTGTCACCATCCTAGCTAACTAGGCTGTGGTGGTTAAACCTCAGGTGTAAAGGGTGGGGCCAATTCCATGCAAACTGTGACTCACCTAAAAAATCCACTGCGCAGGCTGGAAGGGCTTACTCTCACTTGTCTGTATGGACAGGCGAGGGCCAAAACAGTAGGTGACAAGGTGCATGGGAAGCTGCAGATACAACCTTGCATGCAGGCGGACCACCACATGGGTCGCTCAAGATTGCCCCAGCAGTTGACAGTCCTGGTTGGACACTTCCTGATTGCCTAAGCACCCTTTTTTTCCAACCAAATTTGCATATCGCACATGCCCTTGGTCATCGTGCTTGTAGTAAGCGTGGTTAAAGCCCTTCCCAAATCTTCGCTCATGAAGCCAAGCCATCAATCAACCAAACTTCATGGTTTGCAAGTACTTCTATCTCCTCTTCACTCCAAAGAGAATGTAGACATAAAGGCTTGTTTTAGGCTTTCTGTTGACTATCTTGTTCTCCTTTTGTATTGCATCCATGAGAAATAAGAGTAGTTGTTGCCTTGTGGAACATGCCTCCTGGGACAGTCCTCTTTACATGTCAGTATGTTCTGAATCAAAACACAAAAGGATTATCAAACTGCTTCACAGCTACATCATTACCTTTTGACTAGTTCCAATGCTGTAAACAGGCACTTTTTAAAATGAGAAAAAGCATTCAGGAATAATGTATGGACTTGATGCATAAAGTCATTAAAATAAAATACCCTTCAACACAGTGATAGATAATTCAGCCAGGTTTTACACTTACAGCATTGGTTAGAAAAAAACAACCTGACACTAGCACTTAACAGTGGTAAATAGTGAGTGGCCTCGAGTTCTGTGGTAAAATAGGAAATACAATACTTGATGCATGATGACGGGTAGAAAAAAAGTATTTTTAAAATGTATTAGACCTAGGACCTTAAGACCATTTAATGGGGTTGGAACTAGATGATCTTAAGGTCCTTTCCATCCCTAACCATTCCATGGTTCTGTAAAATTCTCCCATAACATATACTGTCGTTTCAATTTTTAATTAAAATATATTTATGGATGAAAATGCAGTATCTTTTACAATGAACATCCAGAGGATTTACAAGCCTTAGAACAAGCCTCTCTTTGTGAGACTATTATAATATTTGTATTCCAAACACAGTGGGGAAAGAATATATGTAGTATAAACCAAATATTATATTTCTGCCAGTTATGTGTGTTTGAGCTGTAGGTTCTGTTTTGTAAGTTGCCTAGATCCCACCTCTTCAGATCTATGAAAATTGATGATCCCTAGCACCCAACAGACCTGAGTTCCCATACGTATCTCAGGAGTATGTACTCAATATAGGACCAAAAGGAAATATTACCTGCGCTTTGTCTAGAAGCTGCTCCTAGAACTGCTCAAATCCCACATAAAGTTATTTCACCATGTCAGCCTGATGCTTTCCCTGGCCCTGTCAGCTGGTCTGAGCTACTTTGGGCCACATTTGCATCACTTGCTCACAAGCAGTTAATTCACCCACTTCTTTATTATTTTTTTTATATATTTCATATTTCTCATGATTTCCTGCAGCTTCCCCTAGTGTCTGTAAAAGTGGGCAAATTCTCCTACAGCTCACTGTGAAAGAGTCATACACTAGATCAGTTTGCAGCAGTACAAAGAAATATGTCCCCAGAAGACATACAGAGAAAAGCGCAGGGTCACTGGGAATACTAGTCAGCTGTCCAAAATAATAATAGCTCAAATAGTATCAAATCAGGACTTTGTTAACATATTCCAAGCAGAAGAGTTGAATCTGCAGTAAAAGACAGATTCAAAATGCGTTTTCATTGTATTTGCTCTTTTTGTTGTTAAGCTGTTCTTAATATTACATGTCGTGTGGTAAAAAAAAGATGGAGAAAATGAGAATTCCATCTGAAAAAGGAGGATGCAAAAGGACAAATCAGGTTATTTCGAAATACACTATTTTATTTTGAAGGAGTGGAAAGACAACCACTCTTTGAGCGAACAATCCAGCAGAAGGCTCCCAGATATGAATCAGAATATTGTCTAATTTATGCAATGAGTCATATCAGGCGCCGCACATCTCCTACGAGGTGGTATGTGCCCATGGTTCCCCAAGGGACACTGACCTGCTTCCAGCATCTGTTTTTAAATGCCTGCTGATGCAAGTCTGAGCAGTTCTGTAGCTTGAGCTAAAATTTCTGTTCCCCCTTGCAGTTGCCTCATGCTCCTGGCCTCAAGAAAATAATCTCAGTGTTGTTCTTTTTCCATGAGACTTACTCGCGATCATCTGGTAAATGCTATAACTGACCTTGAGACCACATACACGTACTGCATGTCTCACAGTCTCTCAACTTAGGGAGGAGGGATTACCCCTGTTGTTGAATGGAACAGGCGATGTTCAAAAAAAGCTCAGAAATATTAGCTGCTTACATAAAACTTTTTATAACTTTCATAAATCTTTTTCTGAAAACTCAAGTGTCACGGGAAGACAACCTCTGCCCTGATTACACAGTGTTTTGTTTGTAGAATGCCTAACACATGCCTGCAAGGAGAAAGTCATCTCTCTTTTTTTATATTCCATAAACTTTCCAAAGTACAGAAAATACACATTCATTTCCTGCAAGCAAAGGGGATATTTGTCTCAGCCAAGAAAAGAAACACTATTTGGTTGCTCTTCTAACAAAAAGAACATTAGGAACAGGCATATTAAGAGATCTAAGGCTTATTGTGGTTATGTGAACCATTGGATATGAATCATATTAAAACTGTATGGGCCTTTAATGAAGAGGTTTATCATGTGCCAATGACAGAAACCATGGAATATTTTTAAATGCACAATTCCTTTTCTTTTAAAAATTGTCTGCTGCTAGCAGCACAAAGACTAAACCAATTTTTTTTTTGTTCTTTTTCTCTATTGTCATACCTTTTGAGAAGGGCAAAGCAAATACATATTCAAACTGAGCCATGTAGATTTTGTTCTGCATGCACTTCAAATGAATACTCTTAAGGTCTAAATCCAGGTATTGAGCAACCTACCTGGCCTTTTTGGAAATCAGGTTGAAACAACACTGTGTGAAAGTCCATTTCAAGATGAAAGTAAACAAGATTTTTTTAATACTCAAAATATTGAAAATACATCTGATGTAAGTGAATGTTTGAAGAATACTCCTGAGCTTCCCAAGCAGTCACTCTTCCCACCATGGAAAATAATTGAGGGTAAGACTGGGTTAGTGTTTAGATGACAATAGATGCACTACTGCAATGACCTCACTGGAAGCTGCAGCTTACAAGAACTGTAGGTATTGTCTGTAAAGATTTTAGGCTTACCTAAGCTTAACACCACTTACTGACAAAGCTTGCATAGACTTTAACAGGAAGAAAATTTGGCCCCTTTTCCAGAGCAGTACAAAGAGCATATTCTCGAGTACAACATGCTCCTGACCATTGCTATAACACATGCTCATTAAACAGTACTTGAAGTAAAGCCAGAAAGTGAAATTTGCTGATAATAGTGTGTACACAAAGATGTTAATAATTAGCTGAGAATGCATCACATAACACATAGCATGATCTATATTTTCTCTGTACTCTCATACAACACAAAATGATTCAGTTTGAAGTTAATTTAATTCAACCCTTGGGACAAAAAGCAAAATCTTTTTTGTGCATTTTTTTTACTTTTTTGCTTCTTTTCTTTCTTTCTTTTCATTTGCAAAAGCAATATGGTTTGGTTAAACTGAAAGGCTCAGTCAACAGGTATTTCCTGAAAATATTTTCCATAAAGAGTTGAATGTGGGTCTCCAGAATGAAAGCTGATACTTTCTTTTTTTAATTTTCCAGCCAAAGGTTTCTACAATCTCAATTCTTTAAATGAGGCTGCCTGGATCAGTGCCCAGAACCAGCTCGTTCCATGTGACATTTGTGGGTGTACTTTTCTTCCAGACAGACTGATCGTCCACCAGAAGTCCTGTAAACCAAAACCTGCAACATGAATTGGATGTAACACACATGCATATGTATGCATGCATACTCACACATGTGTGTGTGAGTGTGCATGAATACACACATGCATGCACTCATACATTTCAGCCAAAATATGAGAGAAATAAAATCCAGAGTAAAATCAGCAGTTGTTACTGTGTAGTGTACGATCAAATATTGTGATTTTTTAGCAGTAGCAAAAATTCTTCTTCATTTCTGTTCTTCAGATAGCCTCACCTAGAAGCCACAGTTTAAGAGGATTGGCATAAGAATACTTGAAAGTAATATGAACTATTTTCTTTCCTCTCCTCATCTGTGCTTTGTTGGGTGCAACAGAACCCCAGTGAAGTATCCTCCCAGGCTGTTTTCTGAATAGCTGTGCTGTCTTCATCTCTGTTGGTCAAATGTGGGATATTCTTCAGCCCCACTCCTTTCACAGCCTTTCATATTTAGTTATCCTGACCTTTGAAAGAAGTTGGGCATTCTGCACGCATTTCTCATTGTACATGGAGTTTTTTGTATTCAGCAGACAAGAAGAAATGAACCATATCTGTTGGACACCTTTCACTGCAGAGATCCCAAAAACAGTGTCCCACCAGCATCCATCTAGAGATTTTTTAACAGAACTGAGAGACTGGGAGAGATGGTATAATGTCAGGAGCTCCCTTGTCTGCAGAGGTGTTTGGCTACATGTCTCTTGCTCACTGAATATATTTACCTATTGTTTCAGAAACTGAATTTTCGCACAACTTTTATGAAATGAGAGTTTTTATGAGGGGCAACTCATTGAATCTTACTGGAAGCAAAGCCAGATCAGGAAAACTAATTCATTTAAAATTTTATTTCCCCTCTACCCAAGACCTGTCTAGTTAGTGTAAGAACCTCCACTGAAGTAATGACTAATCAGAGAAAGCAAGTGGATCTTTTCGGTTTGTTGGTTTGGGGTTTTTGTATGTGTCCTTGTCCATCTTTGACAGAAGAGTGTTCATTGACTCCTACTTGGAGCTTAAATCCATGCAGGACTCCAGTGTTCACATGCTTGTGGGATAGGGCAGCTCATGAAGGCCTTGACTGCTACAAGTAAAGCATTTCCATATAAAGGGATCAGACATGGGTAGAAGCAGAGAATGGCTGCCTTAAACACCCTAAAAGCACCCTCTTCTTGAAGCCTTTAGCAAATACCAAATGAATAGCAGATAGCATGAAGCAAATAGCATAACCAGCAGGACCAGGGCAGTGATCACCCTCCTGTACTACACTGGTGAGGCTGCACCTCGAATCCTGTGTTCAGTTCTGGGCCCCTCACTGCAAAAGTGACATTGAGGTGCTGGAGCAAGCCCAGACAAGGGCTGCAAAGCTGATGAAGGGTCTGAGGCAAAATCTGATGAGGGGCTGCTGAGGGACCTGGGGAGGTTTAGTCTGGAGAACAGAAGGCTCAGGGGGGACCTTATCGCTCTCTACAACTGCCTGAAAGGAGGTTGTAGTGAGGTGGGGGTTGGTCTCTTCTCCCAAGTAACAAGCAATAGGACAAGAGGTAACGGCCTGAAGCTGCACTGGGGAGTTTTAGATCAGATAATAGGAACAATTTCTTCACAGAAAGGGTGAACAGGCACTGGAACAGGCTGCCCAGAACAGTGGTGGAATCACCATCCCTGGAAGTGTTCAAAAACTGTGTAGATGAGGCCCCTAGTAACATGGTTTAGTGGTGGACTTGCCAGTCCTGGGGCGGTGGTTGGACTTGGTGATCTTAAAAGTCTTTTCCAACTTAATTGATTCTATGATTCTATGTTTTTATGATTTATTTCTTGCTTAAGAATGATACTATGTGATTATCCTCAGTTCAATAAACTGATCATGCCAGAAATTTCGTAAGTCAGAGGAGCATCTTTGTCATGAACTTGGTAAAAGGAAACACACTTTTATGTTAAGCCAAAACAATCATGGTGTGTCAGATGACTGGAATAAAATACCACCCTGCTCTCTGTGCCAAGTGTGATCATAACAGAGTGCCATTAAGGGTAAAAAGGGTAGCTATTACACAAGAAAACAGCTGGGAAGGTGTTTGAATGTGCTGTTTTGAAAAATGCTATTATGTTACGTAGCAGTGCCAAAACACATCGGTAAATAGGTTAAACATATGGAGGAAATAACACTCACTTTAACAAGGTACAGAAGAGAGCACTATTTATTATTATTTTACTTACTCTGAAGTGTTTTATTAAGTAGTTAGTGCAGTTATTCAAAAGGTATGACAAAATCCAATGCAAGTTGTTAACCAGCAATATAGGCTTCCTGATAGCACAAAAGAAACTGTACCTCATATATGTTTTCAGCATCAGGCTTAAGGCCTGGAACTAGCTGTTACGGATTGTGTGACCAATATGACTTCTCAGAGCATCCACACTTCCTATTGCACCTACAAATCAGACGGATGTCTTTATGCATGCTAAAATGAAATATGGATACCAGGAACTTTTCCTAGCTATCAAGCTGTGCAATTTGTGGCATAAGTGAAATAAGAAGTAACATTATTTTTCTGTTATTAGAGGAACTCTCCTGGCTCTAGTCCTGGCGGGCTGTTGATTCAGAGTGGGAGAGGCACTAGCATCCTTTGATGAAAATAATTTCCAAAATAATCAATGGCACCTCAGCAGCCCTTTCGTCTTCAGAATGAGAACTGTTTTGTCTGAAGATAAGTATCTTTAGGAGTCAAAGGTTCAGTTTCAGTTCTACAGTGCAAAGCTGTATAAGTCCCACAGATCTATCATTTCTAGTGTCTCCAGTGTAAGGAGAGTCACTGGCAGAGCTGGACCATCCCTCCTGCTTTTGGCTGGGAGGAGGCATGTGGTCTGAGAAGTCAAATGAAGATCTGGATAATTAAGAGCTTCCTCTGTTTATAGGTCATTGCTGCTGAGCTCTGAATTTAACAGGGGATTTGTTAAATGTTGAGACTTACCCCTAACAGAGTCAAGTGAACACCGGGCTATGGGGACTGATGATGGGACCAGAGCATGCAGGACAGGTTATCTGTCACAAGCTTTCCTCCTGAGCTCACCAGCCCTGGTGTTAGTTTGTGCCAGTGATGACGGTGGGTTCAGTGGCAAGATCTGTTCAATGGGAGAAACACTGATAATGCCTTCAAGGTGTGCTGTCAACAGAGTTAAAATGAGATCTTATGATCATTTTTCATTATTGCTTGGCATTTATAATTCTGACTTTTTTTGCAGAAGAGGAAAAGGAAATGAGAACTTGAGCTACTTTGCTTTGTTTCCGTACTTTAGTGATTTGTCACTTAAACTCATATCCTCCACTGTTGGCTCACAGTGATTTCCAGCTCAATCCCATGTTTCCTACTGGCACAACACATTTAAACAGCTGAAAAATGTTTTTGCATACTTCAAAACCAACAACATTCCATCTAGTTTGCCACAAATGTGCTGATAGGAGCTGAAACTGTTCCTGGACAAGATATTAAATCAGAACATGGTTTGACAAACAATGTTCAATCAAAACAAAAGTTTTGATTTTTGGAAAGACAAAGTTCAATCACATTAAATAAATGATCATCCTCTTTCAGACCATAATTAAAAGTCCTGACCATAAAAAATAAGAAAATCAGCCACCTGAACTTACCAGTCCCAATTAAAAAGATTATACATTTTAGAAAAGCAGTCCTGAAGTTCATAGTAAATCTGGATGAGTTTAACTGCAGACTTAAAAAATTGGACATTAATGAAAGAACCTACAACTGCAGATAAATATTCTATGCAAAGTGATATAGTTCAGTAAGTTGAGAACATCACAGTCCATTAGTGAACATACAAGCTTCAAAAGGTCCTGCATCTTTAAGGGCAGTAGCAAAAAATGCCTAGCAGGCCTTAAAAAAAAACGTTTCATGGACTCTTTGTCTTAAAGACTAACAGCACTCAGTAGAACATAGGCTGAAGGACAAAAAAAAAATGTAAATGCAATGCCCGTTTCTACCTAAAAGATAGAAGCTACATAAACCTGTGAATTCTCTTTGCATGACATAGACCTGGAAAATACGCAGCAGCATATAGAAATTGTTTTTTCAGCACTGTCTCCTTACCACTGAAAATTGGTATGTTTAGGTTTTAGTTCAGGATATGTAAGCACAAAATTTGATTCTGTACTGACTGAAGCCAAGTCCTGCACTACCCAATGGGTAGAGGATGGTGCCAGAAAAGCTAAGGGATTGGTCAGATGTTGACACATATACGTCTTAACCAAATTAGTTCCTGGAAGTTTTTATGACGGCACACAATTCATGGCCTATGTTTGTTTAACAACAGAATTTAATAATTGAAAATTAAGTTTGGTTTTATTACCCAGTTCAGGGAGCTGGTCAACGCTCATGGAAGAAATTCTAGTGAGGTTCTGGGCTGAATCACTATTTTCTTTAGGGCTCCTCTCTGCCCATGTGGTTAGTTCTGTTTCACTGTCAGTGGAATAGGGTTTCCTGAATTCTGTATTTCTGAACAGTGTCAACTAGAGAGGGTTCAAATGAGTTTGCTGTATCTGGAGACATGCCACACTCAGCAGGACAGTAGGATCATGCAAAAGTAGGATTCAACAGGGGCATGAGGTCCACTAGGAAATGGAACCTACACACCTGGAAAACCCTTTAAGAAGTTGCCTGAGGGACTATCTACATTCTTGCATACTTTTACTCACCTGCTCCTCAGTCAACATCATAACTGACATACACAGAGTTCTATTGACTCCAGGGCACACAAGGATTAGGGATTTATCTTAAATCTATAATTCTTAGAAAACTCCCATTTGCAGTTCAGTAAAAATGTTATAATCTGGGTAGGGCTGAGAAGAGCGCCATGATTATAGAACTGGAAAATCCACTGGACAAATGAGACTCCAGGGGGTCATACCATTTAACTTCTCAAAAAAGAAGTGCCTCTCTAATGGCCTGCACATACCCAGATTACAGAGCATCCTTTCCAGAAGAAAAGATTTAACAATCTCCAAGGCAGGAACTGGTACTAGACCAACTCAGAAATAGAAACTCGGAACTTTCAAACAGTGGGGTGATTTACTGAGAATTGCAGTGGATTGTCTATGGCGGATTTTTTTGCCA